ATTCAGTAATTCGTCTTTAAAGTAGTGAGCTAGATTAAATAACTTTTTAAAAGTTGCCACGAACAATGTGATGATGGAAAACAAATGAATCAATGAACGGCTTTAGTTTGTAACGACGAAATACAGCACCATAAAACATCATAGGCAAAACACCGAGGTTTCAGATTGTTTAATTGGGAACTCCATATTTTTCCGTTGAATGACTTTCAATGGAAACTGCAGCTTGATGTGACCAGTTGAGTGATTCGTGCTGTCATCATTGTGGATAGAAATCATGCCATAATCGGTGAATTATGACAGACAGAATCGCCAAAAAAGTAAGCGTAAATATTTTCCAAGCTGCTTAAACATTAAGATTTGAGCCAGACTAGACTACATTTGTGATATTCATTGTTTCTTTGGCCGACATTTAGGGAGTCAATGGAATTTGGTAGATACTTTTTTCTTCAATTCGGTGTAAGAGTCTGAAAAAGTAAAGCCTAGATAGGCCTTTCAACGTTAAGAAATATCTGTCAAGACATCCAGTAATACAAATTATAGTGGAAAAGGCCACAACGTGAAAATCGGCCTTTTATTTCCATATTACTCTCTTCCTACTGTCTTCCTCAGTTTGTGGTCAGTACTCCTTTCCTGTGACCAAAAGATCGGGATGTGGAACTCAAGGTAAACCGGTCGGTCTTTGGCCATTCCGTCGGATAAATGAAGGCCAATCAATCCCCAATGCCGGTGCTGTTCTAGCATATTTAAGGGAAAATTAAACAGAGTAAATCAAGTTAATATTAAATTTCCTGCAGTTTTAAGAGCGGCTGTTTTAATATTCGCAACTATTTTCTTTTTTATCAAATGCTGATTTGTTCAGTTCGCTAAGAGCCTGATTTAGGTAAAATCTCGAGGGGGCATCTTTGAAGTACGTGCGAACATAAAACGTAAATCATTTTACGAATAAAATGTGCAGTATGTTTACCAAATAAGGTCGACGTCTCGATTTGCCTAAATAGGGCGCGCACGGACTATCTGGTAATCACAGCATTTCGCTAAACGCCCGAACGGTACTAGCCTAAGAAAACAGCCGATATTTCGCCACGACACAGCTGGTTTCCCTGAGAAATGACGTCTGAGGAACGAGCGCAGAAATTCCATTCTGATGACACGTCACTACCCAGATCTGGGTAGTGCTTCTGATTGCAAATTTCTCTCGCGGCACAACCAATCAAAAGCACTTCCTAGATATGGGTAGTGACACGTCATCAACACCGAATTTCTGCACTCGTTCCACAGACGTCATGTCGAGGGGAAACCAGTGGTGACGTCGCGACCTGTTTCCTCTGGCTACAACGGAGCAAATGGGTAATATTTACGCCATCTTTGATATCAGGGTTTCGGCAGGAACACATATGGAATCTGGCCCTCCTTGTCTTTGTCTACAACAACATCGCCTGTGTCGCAGGCAGGCGGTTAGTAACGTCTGCGATGCAGCGCCGATATCAGGGACTTTAAGATCCAACTACGCGGACGGCAACGAGAACGTCAAAAAATCGACCTGAGGTTTTATAGGCAAAACAACAACTTTGCACGTGCATCACACTTGTTTGAACGCTTCTTTTTCCGTTTTTGCACGACTACCTCGTGAAAATGCCTAGTTTCGCGTTTTATGGAGAACGTAAACAAGCAACGACGAAATTTAATTTCTCTTTCTGAACTTGGATATTGTCCCTAAGAATTCAACTCCAGGAGGGTTCGCCTACATTTGACAAAGTAAGTAGGTAGGAATAATTGCCATATAAGGTTTGCAATGCTTCAATCATTTGCTAGCCAACAAAGCAGGCGTTTTCCGTAACACTAAATTCTAAAAAAGTTGAGGAGTTGGGGTGGTTCAAAGGGGGGTAGGGAAGGTGGAAAGTGCGTTATTTTGTCTCCCCTCCCCTCCCGTCTCTTACTTTCACCCTAACGCCTACCCTAAGGGTTGATGTATTTTTACTCCCCCCAATCGTCTTCAGTTGTAAAATCAAAGATGGCGGCCATGCATTATAGACTTCAGGACAGAACGCGTTCACTCCCCCCACCAAAATAGCGCTAGCTATCCACCGGAAAAGTGTTTGGGAAACCAATAACTGTATTTTATCCAGTCAATAGCGTTATCCACTTTCCGAACAACTCGGCCCAACAGTACGGAGTCGAATACATCAGTCGCAATCGATCTCATACTTACTATATTGAAGTCAACAATGAAGGAACATTATCATAAAACATATGCAAAATCCTGTTATATAGATTTAGCCAGGGCTAAAACCGAAGCTCTCGATAACATTTATAGTTTGTTCAAACAAAATATAAAATAGTGTAATGCTAAAGGCGATGTTACACGGGACGATTGGCAACGACGATTTTTAGCGCTACACAGCGTTACAATGCTGGAACAATGTTGTAACCATTCGAAACAATGTTGCAACGCTGTGTTGCACTAAAAGTCGTTATTGCGAATTGTCTCGTGTAACATCATCTTAAGCGGCGAAGGCAACGCCTGAGAACGGTGAAAACAGCGATAGGTCTAGTAAGCAAAAAAGCAACTTTGCACGTGCAGCACACTTTTTTGTACATTTCTTTGCCGTTGTTTTGCACGACTACAACGTGAAACTTTCAGAAACTTCTTAGTTACACGTTTTATGGAGGAAATGTCATACGTGTTCCCGTTCACTTTTTTTCACTGCCGCTCATCGTCACCTTGCATTGGTGGCCGCTAGCACTTCTCATTTGACCGCCTCTACAAAATTTTCATGTTGTTCTTCCAACAAAAAAATGTCTCCTTTGTTTTTTATCTCTCGCTTTAAATCCCTGTCGCCCTTTTTCTCGTTGAGCTTCGCTGGCCTGCCACCCACTTTCTCTTTTTCACTGTCTTTCTCTTGCTCTATACTCCAAATTTGTGGACATGACAATTTATCTAAGCTTAATACCGTAAAATTCCGAAAATAAGCCCCGGGGCTGATATTTTTCAAGGCCCTTTTTGAGGGGCTTATTTTTGGAGGCGCTTATATTCGGAGGGGCTTATTTACAGAGGGAAATTTGCGTTTCGAAATTGATTGGGCTAGCCTTATAGTTGGAAGTAAATCTACTGTTTTTGCTTTGTTTTACTTTGTATTTGAGGGTAATTTTCCAGGTACAAGCCCCCGGGGGGCTTATATTTGGAGGGGCGATTTAACGCGGGATTTTTTGCGTTACCCGTTTGGGGGACTTATATTTGGAGGTGCTTATACATGGAGGGGCTTATTTTCGGAATTTTACGGTACTTTAGACAACACGGATACAGAAACAATTTTCGCTTTCCGTTTTCGTCTTTATTGACTCCTTTGTTGTCTGTGCTTTACAAGACGCCGGTGGCTATGTGATTTCCCGCCAAAATAACCTCGAGTTGCATTTGGGTTACCATACCTGTTGATTGAGTTATTTTACATTGGTATACCTGTGGCGCGGACAGACGGTCTCTCGGGCGGGCGGGCGGTGTACGGTCACGTGATTACCAAATTTTCTCGGATGGGTAGTTTCAGTTTACTTTATTTTCTTACCCATGGTGCTCCGCTGGCGCGGTTCGTGCGCGAGAGCTCCGCTATAAACAGGAAACAAATTGAATTGCACCTGAAAAAATTAGACCTGAGCCTGCAATTATATTTAAAACCATTAACTGGTCAGCGAAGGACTAAAAAATAAAACACCTCGATGAAGGTTGTGACTAGAATGAATACCTTAAAACCAGGTTGCGTACCTGCGTGCGCGATCCAGTTATGTAACTAGAAACACGTTTATCGCAACATCTCGCGAAGCTGTACAAAGTGAAAGTTATTGGAACTCGGAAATGGTGATAGTTTCTTTAATGGTTTGTCTCACAATAGTCACTTTGTTATCTATCGCCATGCACGTTTTGTTTCATGTCGGTTGACTGCGTACTGCTGGCCTTCATCAGGCGATGGCGTCGATAGATTTACTGAACGGAACTATAAGTAACATTGCGATTGCTGATGATTGGTGCATACGAACCCAACTCACGGCAGTTGGTGGGTTTCAATCCGAAATAGTCCAAGTTCAATACCAATTCCATGAATGCTCATTCTTGACCTTGGAATTGACATTTGAAAATACATTGTAGTCTCAAAAGGTCTTAGATTTTTTTTAGTACTGTAGCTCTCTCACGATTTTTAATCATTTGCTGTCACGTGACCAATTCACGTTCATTACTGATGAAGACTGTGCGTTTCAGAAAAAAAGGCACATGAAAAATCTGAGATCTCTTGAGACTAGTCTTCATTTTAAACCTTCAACAAGTATAGGTAATAGCATGATTTGTAGTGATATTTGGTATAAATACCACGAGTGATATTTCAAAATTGTTATACGTAATTTCACGAGCCGTTAGGCGAGTGAAATTTGAGACAATTTTGAAATATCACGAGTGGTATTTATGCCAAATGTCACCTACAAATCATGCAATTATTTGTTTATACTACTACCCACAAAATGTTTGTAATTTTCACATGAAAGTATTTCAAATTAAGCTGAAATACCACTGCTCGAAGCCAATCAAATTGCAGTAATTTCTCATGTAGTAGTATAACAATTGAAATTTTTGTGGTTGTCTCAAAAGTGGATTCGCTTGCTTACGACGCCATATGTGGGTTGGGGTTTGTTGTTGGTTTTCTCTCTTGTTCGCTGAAGTGTTTCTCCTGGAGGGCACTCAGGTCTATCCCTCTCCACAAAAACTAACATTTCTAAATTCCAATTCATGACGTGTTACTGTAGATACAATATGTCCGCAAACTTGGTATGTTAACTGACTTTATTGTAATTTCATCTAGCTCTAGTTATTGCAAAGGAAACTCTGAAAAAGTTCAATCTTGCTGTTCTGCTGGTTATTTATTTCAATATCGGATGGGTGCAAAGCGCCTTGGGTGACTGATAAAAATACTTTTCGTCAAAGATTTATCAGAGCTTTACAAATACAGCACAAATCATTACAAATCACAAGGATATTCAGACACTTCTTCCAGCAAGCACCCTTCTTTACAACATTCTTCTACCGCATTGATATCAGCTGTTCTTCGAGTGATGGAGTGTCTGCTTTTCCAGGAACGCTCAAGAAAATCGCTAGCCTTCTCTGCAGAAATGGCGACCCCTGAAAGTCAAAAACAGAGGATGTTTTATGCAAAATCAAAGTATGACCCTGCACCATCTGGCATTATTTGTTGCGTTTACTTATTATATCGACTAGTTAGCCGCACCCACCTAGACAAGCGGATTCTGTCTTTACCAAGACTCCTTTGTTCTAGGGTCGTTGTTCTTGTTTGTTAAATATACTTGTCCACCATTTTGTTGGATCGTATTCTGTTGTTTCTACTAACCCTGTTGACTGGAGCTGTAAGTAATATGAAATTGACCGACAACGCTTGAAACACCCTCAGAAACGTCCCCACGGTAATGGAAAGGCTAATAAACAATAACAGAGTGGCGACTAGTCCTGAAAGTATTGAAGTTGGCTTGCCCATTGGAATAAAGTAGAGCATTTAAACCGCACCCATTTTCCCTATGTTAAGGTGGCGATGATATATTTTCAGTCTTCATTTTTTCAGACCAACGGCATTTAAGTACACGCCTAGTTGTAGCCCTGTCCATGCTAACATCGGTACTCGTCTTTGCTTGTTAGATCTACTATTATTTCTAGACAAGAAATTATAACTTCTCACCAAGCACTCTCTTGTACGCATTATGTCTACATCCATGATCACAGCAGATCTCCCAGGCTTTACGAAACTCAACTCCGCAGAGATGTGGAAGCATTTTTAGTTTTTTTTTCTCCTCTGGTGCTCTGCAACTGACCTTTATCGTGACCAGTGAAAGCAGGACTGCTATGCATATTGAAAATACAGATAACTGCATCTTGAAGAAAAAAAAAGAGCATTACAACAATTACAACAATAGCAAAGATCGTGCGCGATAACAATTGGAGCTGAAAGCGGAACATGACTTTAGACTGCAAAGTGAGGGGTATTGTTCTTCCTTTCCGCCGCCACCCCACCCTTGCACTTTTGACTTTAACATTAGCGTTCAATCTCTCTCAATTCATTTCGCACGTTCAACGATCAAAGGAAAGATGCCCTAAGAAACGAGACGTTGCCTGTTGGGTAGTGTGCCTTTTTTTCTCTTGCTTTTTCATTAAAATAGAATGTATAAAAATGCTAAAAGAGGCGTCTTTTGTGAAAACGTTGGTTTAATTTTAGTTGTGGGTGGCTTTTATTTGAAAATCACAGCAAAACGGGAATGACTCGCGCCATCTAAACTCGGACTGTTCCACTTATCCACATCTCTTGACGAAGAAGCCGATGACAAAACCTGGTCAAATCCGATTCTTCCTTCTTGTGACTTTTTTATTGACTTTCAAAACCTTGTGGGGCTAAAAATTGGAGTTGATTTTTTGTTGAGTTTAACAATGGTTACTAAGTAAGCAACAGTCGAGAATTACGACCCAACTGATTAAAACTGCACTGCGGCCTAAATGTTGAAGGACTCAACATTTTGCAAAATGCGATCCATTTTCCTGAATATGCCGACATATTGTTCCAAGAAACATTGCAGACCATACCAGGAGCCCATAACCAAGAAAGAGCAACTTCATGTACTCGTGTCACTACCTTTTTTACAGCCCAGTTTATTTTAAGAGCGGTTTTGGAGCGAATTTAGAATATCTTTTAAGTTTCCCAAACCAGTCAGCAAAACCTACAGAACTAAAAATGACATTTGATATCTTATGCTTCGAATGCGCTCATAGACGGAGATTCCATTTTCGCGGGAAAACTTATCCTGACCCTATTTAAGACCAAAAAATGTAATATTTCACACCCGTTTTCAGACCTGGCCTCAGGCAGAAATTATGTCATCATTACTTAGTTTAGAACGCTAACAAAAATGATTTCTTAAAATTCACTTCGAATTCGCATATTTCTCTTTCTTTCTTGTTCATTAGGAATTAAAACGAAAACTATGTTCAATGGACTCCCGTAGTTACGTCTGAAACCATACCCGATCCCAAAACAAACTGGACAAAGTCTATACCCTTTTTCAGACCAAAACGGCGCAAAGACCCTACCCTTTGGGGCGGCACATACCTACGTGGCTTTTTAATATAAGGGAGTACCCCCCCGGGATTTTACCAATGACAGGTGACAAATTTCGGAGATGAATGCCATCAATTTAATGAGAAGAGAGGATATCCTCACTTCACTATGACTACAAAAATGACAGTTTATTGAAACACTTAACAGAATTCGTTGAGTGTTCCAATATTAGTAGTATTGCCAAATAGAAAGTGTTTTTGTCATGTTCTCTGACAAGACAGGTCGTGGTCACGCTCTTGAGGACATGCCGGTAAGATTACCTTAAGTTTATTACTTATATACATTTCGTTATTCAATAACCACAAACTTGTCATAAACACAATGGCAGCATAGAAAAACCTGGACTCCTGAATTCACTCAGTCATGCAAACATTTGAAACTCTGTCACACCTGTATTCAGTTTTGAAAATAAATATCTGAGGCAACAGATTATGTACCCGTTTGGTGTTGAATTCTCTTCCGTCGTTTTTTCGCATGGCCAAAGTATAGTTATTAAAGTATACTTTATAAAATCCGTCATGTTCATTTTCGCTAAGCTATGTGCTCACTGACCTATTTTGTTTTATCTCTTCGTTTAAAAATTCAGCAGAACCTGTTGTAAATAAGCTTATATTTTGTGGACCTGCTTTGTACGGTGATGGCCACCACCTTTTTAGATACACTGATAAAGAAAGAATTCTGCTTGTAGATAATTTAAAATTTGCTGGATCAGTTAGACTTATTGTCGAGATCAGTTGCACATCTTCTGATTCAAGCTAGGTTTTTAGTAGAGGGACTAGTTTTTTAAATGTTAGTAACGTCAATTATCCAGCGCGTATAAAAGGAACTGAAAAAGCTTCAACGCTTGCCTTGTACAGGCAGTGATTTAGCTCTGCGAGATTCGACCCAACGAGGATAAAATGTAGGCCTGTATTGTAAATCGACAAAATCCTGTTTTCACTTTCATAACCACAAACCCCGATTTAATATTATATATTACGTTTTGCTTTGACTTTTTTAGCTGCATGACTTGTCAGTTTTTTTCGTCACTTCTCCGTTTTGAGATATTTCATAAAAAAGTTGAATGTTCAGGGCTTCAAATCTTTCAAAACAATGAATTCTGTGACATGAAACAGCCAGTAATAAAACAATTAACGCAAAGTAATGTCTCCGCATGTAATTTTGATTGCATTTTACATTTGTTAACTAAAAAACAAGGCAATCTTTTTTTCTTATTTTGTCTTAAGCTAATCAGTCATTAAAATATCTCAAAAGTATAAACAGTTGTACCGAAAACGTAGATATGTTCTTTAAAGTCATTTTTGTATGCAATATGCTCGAGCAAAAAGACCATTAGGAGCAAATATATGTCATTTACGATTAAAGAGAAACAATGAAACTGAAATAGACGTAATATTAAAAGTTTTCAGATCTAATGAAACATCCTAACAACAGAATATTAGGTTTCAAATAGTTATACGCTGACATGACGTCTAGATTTTTTTCATTCATCAAGGAATTTTGAACACCTCGTACAATTGTGACTTTAATTTCATCTCTTTCCGCTGATATTCCTTCAGTTTTCAAATGAAACTACCAATAAATTCATTCCGAAGCTCGGCTGGAAGAGGCGAAGCCAATTTTGCTTTAAGATTCCTGATCAATAAAATGTGTATTAATACTTACTTTCCCTTTTTTCGACTCCCTGGGACCTTTGAAGAGGTATTTCACAAATCCCAATCGCTTCGGGCTGATGAATTTCACTCCTGGCACAAAATCGATCTAGAATGACAGTTAGCGTAACTTGTTGCCTCTCTAAATATCCTAGAAAAGCAAACAAAATCCCCGAGCTCATGACGCCAACGAACTCAGCTACAAAATCGTTTTTTTTTTGTGGACACTTTTGAGGTCAAATCTTAGTCATACCTTTAAAATCATCGCATATTGACTAGTACAGAGTAGCAACTATAAGCCAAGAAAAAAATCCAAAAAGTTTGTCATGGAGCCGGCTAGTCTCCTTCATTGTCTAAGTGCTAATAATTCTGAAAGAGATCGAAAATTCGGTTTCTAAGGGTGAATGCTTTGTGATTGAAGAGGAAATTGGGAAACACATCTACTCAATAACTTGTGGCTGAATAGCATGATGAGCTTCACAATTGTTAACACCATTCCTGATACAGTACTCCTGTATTTAAAGGAGAAATTGAATAATAATCACTAATAATGAAGAACAAGGTCAGCGGGAGCAGGTGAGGCAGAGCAAATATTATGTGAAACAGTAAATAAAACCGTCGCATGTGGGTATCAAAATAAACACCAAACTTTTCGAATAGCACGTCGCGGTTTAATCAGTGGAGATCGGTTTTGACATGGAACAGCTTTTAATTTGATAGAAGTATGGTTTATGATTGATAGAAAGTACAAACAAATGGAACAGGAAATATAAAAAATAATGCTATCACCATTTCACATTAATAATCATTGCGAAAACATTCATCACAAAATAGGGAGTTAATTTCACTGATAGCGATTGGTAGTCTTACAACTAAATTGCACCTCCATTCAAAATTGTATACTTCGCTTAATCTAATAAGCCAATTACCAAATATCGAATAATATCGAATAAAATACCAATGAAAACTTCTTGTTCTGACATCTCGGATTTTTGCCGCTGCAAAAGACGTAAATTAACAAGTTAAAAAGAGTATGGCAGACTAGTGGTGAAGCGAAAGACTCAGAGCGGAGTCAAACTGTCGAGTAACTAAACTCAAGATGCTGAAACTCCAAGGAAATTTAAAAGAAAACAAGCCACAGCAAGAAACTGTACGAGCAACTAAGATGGCGACTTGAAAATACAGACTAGGCAAACACAGTAAGGCAGAGCATTGACAGCAGGCGGCCATCATGGAAATCTCTTCCCTAGTACGTGCGAGTAAAGGCGTGAAAAGAATTATTCGATGGAAAGCAAGCAGGAGTGCATGTGACGAGGAGGTTATTTAATTTTACATGTTCAATACCAGGCGATGGAATTTCATAGATGATATTTTCGTAAGATTTTTAGTTTTCCCGGTATCAGGTTGGTCCTCGGCAAGTGTGAAGCAGCTGCCTCATACGCCAGACGAGGTCTTGGTCAGCGCAGCTTCTGATTCATCTGATTCATATAATCAGAAGGAATCAGTAAGGGCAAGGGACATTGTACAACCTGTCGGTAAAGAATTATCATGTCATCTCCCCCAAAGATTAATGAAGAGAAGTCAGGTCCGAGGTTCACACACACTGCCTTGGCCAAGACAAAACAGAATAAAGCCTTCTCGCGATCATGATTTTTAAATTAAAATTTGTTTTTGGTGGCCTGTCGGTACGAACAAGAGACAATCATTCTCTCTTGGTACAAAGGTACATTTAAACTTTTCCTGACAAATATACTGCCACCCCTTATTTAACTTATAGCAAAATATTTCATTTTCCAGACTACTGCGACTCGATTTGAGTCTTCAGACTGCAGTAGGGTAAAAAAGTCCTCACTAAAAACATGTGATTACTGATAAAACAATGCGATCGTTTCGTCAAATAAAATTATAGTGACTCGTCTGTGACAATTTCATTCTATGCTTGTATCGTGGAAGCTGATCACCCAGTATCTGCTTGTTGTGTGTGCAGGACAGCTTGTTTCAAAGTTTATGTTTACTTTCTTACATTGACTGGACTTTTGATTTCAAAGAAAGTCATTAAAAACTACATGCAATCCAAAGGAAAGAGCAGTCAGTGAGAAGTCGACAATATTTA